AGGGTGTCTTCCTTCTCAACACTTGAGGGTTCCCCACCAGGGCCAGGCGTGGCACCCTGGGAAGTTGAGGGATCCCAGTGACCTATGGCAGCTGTTACAGCCAGAACTAGGAACTGCGTCAAGGTCAGAAGGACTGCATGTCCAACTCAGGTGCAGAAACTAAAGTCAACCTGGGAAGGGAAACATGACGAAAACCTGATTTTATTTGTTTTATTTTGCCTAGAGCTTTGTTTCTTATTAACACTCCAATTTCTACCCAGAGATCCCAAATCTCCCCTGAGCCCACGGCAGAAGGAAGGAAAGAACAATAAGAGTAGGAGATCAAGTTTTTCCCGGCACTGATGTGGGAGCAGGATTTCTTTTAAGCAAGTTTACATACCTCCAGGCTGCAGGAGACGTCCCCAGGGAGCTCGCTTTCAAGGTGGATTTCCACGGGGTTGTTTTCTGGAGATTTTTATCCTTCAGTTTCTCCAATGTTCTCCTGAGTGATTGGATGATTATGTAGCGAGGATTGGTCATTTACCCAAGAGAAGTGAGAGAAGTGGATTTCCCCTGTGGCTCTCCTATCCTGCTGCTGGAGGCCTGCGATCTAGCCTCCTGGCTTCCTCAGGGAGGGACTTAATTGAAGTGTCCCCAGGAGTGTTTTCTACATCTGCTCAGCCCTCCTTGGAAACTGGGGCAGTCCCTGTGATGTTGGTGGGCCCCTCTGGATGACTTGTGTGAAGCAGGGAGGAGAAAGACGCTCACTTTCTCCCCATCTGCCCCCCATACCCAGGGACCCACTGGGCAGACTAGGGTTGGCAAAGTCAGCGATGAGCCCCTGCTGGGCCGGGCCTGTCCCCGCCAGCCCCACCGGGTGGCTGTCAAACCACATCTGAAGTTCATTTGGTCGGTCAGGCACCAGAATTGATACCCACCACCTGATTTCTTGGGGAGCATGGACTCAGGCTGGAGCGAGGATTTGCCCTTTGCAGGAAAGAGAAACCAGTCCCAGGCCTTACCCAGGGTTTTGGTGATTCTTGTCTCTCCTCGCAGAAAAGAATTTCAAGAGTAGAGAAGCAGTGAAGTAAAACAGATTTTTATTTGGAAGTTTTTGAAAGGGAGAAGGGAAGGAGGGGAGAGAGAGAGAGGGAGAGAGAGAGAGAGAGAGTGAGAGAGAGAGAGAGAAAGAGAGAGGGAGGGAGGGAGAGGGAGAGAGAGAGAGAGAAAGAGAGAGAGAGAGGGAGGGAGGGAGAGGGAGAGAGAGAGAGAGGGAGAGTGCAGGCTTCCCCAAAGGGGGAGAAGCCTTGAACTGGCCTTTAAGGGGGGTTTTATAAGCATATTCATTCTTTTTTTTTATGTAGGAGTACTGCTATTTATTCAGCCACCGATTGGCTGATTGAATTGAGCATGAAGTCCACCTTACTTTTCTTTTTTTCATAATTTTATTTATTTATTTTTCTTCTTATATTTATTTATTGAATCACTGTGGGAAAAGTTACAAAGCTTTCAGGTTTAAGTCTTGGCCATACAATGATCAAACACCTTTCCCTTCACCGTTACTCATTTTTCACCACTAAGAATTCCAGTATACTCCCCCTCCCACCCTCCCAATGCCTGTGAGGCAGATGATTTCTACTTAACTCTTCTCTACATTGATTCCATTCATTATTTCGACAAAAGATGCACCATTATTGTTTAGAATTGCCCCCCCCCAACAATTTGAATTGCTGAAAAGGCATTGTGAAATACTTTGTTTTCTATAGCTGGTATGAGAGTCATATTCATTCATTCATTCATTCATTCATTCATCATCCTGTTATTCGTCGATTGCCTCGAGCAGGCCCCAGTAACGTCTCTTTCATCCTAGCCCTGAGATTATATTCAAGGCTCTTTAGGAGAATGAGACCCATCATTGTTACTGGTATTTGGCATATTTGGTACGCCATGGGGAGTTTGCCAGACTCTGCCCTGTGGGCAGGCTACATTTGATAGCCTGCAAGTTTGTCCAAAGTAGGAATGAGATAATAAGATGTCATAAAAAGATGTCCTGATAAGATTTACTGCCGAGCGGTTCCGGGAGCTGGATTTTATAGTCTCTGAGTCTTGGCAGTTGATGGGATTACACGGCGCCAGGGGGCCAGGTGGTGGGTGTGGCCCCCGCCTACTGGAATTTGGAGGATCTGGGTGGAGGATGCTTGACTCCAATCTGAGTAGGCTTGGAGATCTCGGCCCCGGAACCCGCGTGGCTTTGTCCCTCTGCCAGTACCTTCATGTGTGCGGAGAGTGGTCTCAGCATGGTGGTGGCTGGTCCTGGAGGTCTTCGGCTGCCGGAGCCCTGGTCGGGGTGGGGAGGAAAGCTCAACCCGCTCCTCTCCAAGGGACCCCAGTGAGGAACAGCCAGGCGCAGGGGCAGGAGACTGCACTGGTCTCATCCGGGAGCTGGATTTTATAGTAAATTATAGAGTCATATAATGTCATATAATGATTTTGGATTTCTGCAAAGACCCAGATAATTATAAGGAGACCTTAGGCTGGAGCTTTTCTGGGGAGGCAGGGGTTGGTCAGTTGTCAAAGGAACAGCTTTGCAGTTTCTGGTGAATCTCCTTGAGGTCCTTAATTGGTCCCTATTCTTCTGCTGTCATCCCTGTAGGGGTCTGGCCTCCGCAGGGTCTGTCGCAGACTGGTGGACTGGCACCAGTTAGTTCTCCATGAGGTCAGGGCCATTTCTGCCCAGGAGATTTATGGCCCTTGTCTTGTGACGGGGCCTTCCCTACCTGCCGGCCTGCCTACATCACCTGGTGTGGTCAGCACTGGTCAGGTCTGCGGACAGCCCAGCAGGACGCCAGCATCCCAGAAGCCAGGAGGCGGCTGTTGAAGGTGTTCTAAGATCCAGCTGTTTCCATGGGGCAGGGACTGGTCCCTCCACCAAGTTCTCGGGCAGTGGGTGGAGTTGGGCTTGAGGGAGGAACTGCTCTCGGCAGGAAAAGGCAAGTGAACCCTAACCTGGAATGGCTTTCCTTGCAGAAAAGAGTTTCAGGAGGAGACGAAATAGTGTTGTAGAAGAGTTTTATTTACAGCAATTGACTTACAGAAATACGAGAACAGGAAATAAAGGCTGCTGTTGTTTTGGTTTTGTTGTCGTTGTTTTGTTTGGGGGTCACACCCAGCGATGCTCAAGGGTGATTCTTGGCTCTGCGCTTGGGGTCTCGGCACTGAACCCGGACTGGCTGTGTGCAAGGCACGTGCCATCCCCACGGTACAATCTCTGCAGGCCCTGCTATGTGTTCAGTTGATTTCTCTTGGGGATTAAATCCATGAGTTCACATTCTTAGGTCAGAATGTGTCAGAATGTGGCTGAAAGCACCAAGGTGGAGAGTCCACTTCAGTGGGTTCATTTTATTGTGTTTAATTTTGATGTTTGGGTCACACCTGGCATTTCTTACAGCTTACACCTGCCTATGCACTCAGGAATTGCTCCTGGTGGTGCTCCAGATACCATATAGGATGCCAGGGATCGAACCCGGGTCAGGCATGAATAACCATGGCAAGTGCTCTCCCTGCTGTACTATCTCTCCAGCCCCTTCAATGGTTTCACTTTAAATCTGTAGCATAGTGTGGATAAATTGCCTCAGATACAGTATTATATCTTTATCAATCCCTGATACTTTCCATTTAAAGAAATACTTAGTATGTTTTTACTGTTAAACTAAATCTTTGTTAAAATTAAACGATGCTAAATGATTTTTGTATATTTTCTGCCCATTTTTATTCAGGCACCATGATATGCAATTCTGTTAATAACAGTTTCAGGCAGGTAATTCCCCAGTTTCACACCCACCAGGTCTCAATGCCTCCTCCCACTGGCCCCCCAAACCCCTTGACAAGTTCAGCTATAGAGACAGAGTCCCGGACCCTAATATTATGGACTATTTGTTGTTCTCTTACTATTTATTCCTATTCTACACGTGAGCAAGATATTCCTACAACTTTCTGTGTCTTCCAACTGACTTTCTATACCACAGTTTCTTCATCCACTCCTCTGTTCTTGGACACGTGGGTTGCCAAGTCCCACACACTTTGAAGAACACAGAAATGCAAATGTTTTCTCAAAATATAATCTGGGGAATCTTTGGGTAGATGCCAAGAAATGGAATTTCTGTGTCACTTTAGTTGCAAGTACGCCTACTATAGTTAACTTTATTTTTTGTATTTCTATCAATTTTTTTTTATTTTTCTTGATAAAATTCTTAGAAAAATTCATACTATTTGTACTGGCGTAACTAGAATTGATAATTCTATAATTTAAAATTAATTTACAACTATGTTTCCAGGGAAAGGAAAATAAAATGTGTAACAAAATATAAAAATAATAGCAGTTTATGTCTTTCATAGAGTTCGAGGGAATTTAAGCAATTTTATTTGATTTAGTTTAACACTGCAGTCAACACGTGAGACGTCATTTATTTGAGTATTTCCACAACCATGACCACGACCATCTTGTTCGTCGATTGCCTCGAGCAGGCCCCAGTAACGTCTCCTTCGTCCTAGCCCAGCAATTCAAGGCTCTTTCAGGATTAGGAGAATGAGACCCATCATTGTTACTGGTATTTGGCATATTGGGTACGCCATGGGGAGTTTGCCAGACTCTGCCGTGTGGGCAGGTTACATTCGGTAACCTGCCAGTTTGAGTATTTCCAAGTGGTACATAACAAATGCTCAGTAAATATAGTGCTTTGAGCACTGTGACTTTTTGTGACTTCGTCAGCTCACATTTAATCCAAGTGAGCACCAGTAAATATGATGATGCTTGATTGTGTGGCGCAAACAGAGAAGCATGAGCCGTGGTAGGAATAGGGAGCCCAGGACGTCTGGGTCCTGTGATCCTCATCCAGTGTTTCTCATCACAGGCAAAGCTGAGATGGAAAAGACAATCATTTTTTTTTAAAAAAAGGATAATTCTATAAAACTTCTTAAATAGTAATAATGGAATCTTTTTTCTTTTCAAATTTGTTTGCTAGGTTCAGGTTCTCCGGAATGCTGGAGAAGAAGTAACTCTCACAGTGTCGTTCTTGAAAAGAGCCCCTGCGTTCCTCAAACTCCCACTGAACGAAGACTGTGCATGTAAGCATTTGTGAAGAATAGGTAAAATGCTCACATCATCATATTTATCAATAAATTATCATTTTTTGGCATTAGTTGTTAATTAATCCCTAAGGTAGGCATTTCGGCCTGAATTCACAGAGCATTATATAACCCTATGGAAAGAAATATTTGTTATTTTTATTTCAAAATATATTCATCAGAATTTTTTTTCTATGAAAATTACATTTTCAGTTATATTTGAGCCTACACAATTGGAGCAAAGAATATTTTTAAAATGATTATATATTCTACGACATTTTATTTTCTTTAAATTTCATTCACTGAATGAACACTTTTTCTCTAAGTATGTCTGAGAATACTTGACTGCAGCAATGTGAAAAACAAGTATCCCGTGGTAAAAATACCACTGCACCGTACTGTCCTCCTGTTGTTCATTGATTTGCTCGAGTGGGCCCAGAAACATCTCCATTGTGAGACTTGTTACTGTGTTTGGCATATTGAATACGTCCCCCTAGCTTGCCAGGCTTTGCCCTGCAGGCAAGATACTCTTGGTAGCTTGCAGAGCTCTCTGAGAGGGGCGGAGGAATCGAACCCAGCTTGGCCAGCTTGGCTGTGCGTAAGGCAAATGCCCTACTGCTGTGCTATCTCTCAGAAATATTTTAATAGCACTTATTTATAATGAAATATTGCTGCTCAAAATGTACATTTCATAAAAGCTGCTCAAAAACTTCTGTACTAAGTTTTATATTTTAAGACCAAATGCATATGATTAGAAAAGTTTGCTAAAACCCAAATAAAACACTTTAATTGGTGCTCCATTTGTATGCAATGAAATGAACTGCACAGATGAATCACTTTTGAGAAATGCATCCACTTGGCTCTCCATGCACACACGTAAATCATGGAGCAATTTGCATTGCCAATTTCTAGTAGAATGCTCCCCCAGAAATTGCCGTTGATTAATTTTCTCATGATCATATATTGTTTCTGCATCTTCTGGAATTTTTAAGATAAAAATGCTACCTTATTTTCATATCCGCTCTCTTTCCCTACAAACAAATATCGCATATCTTAGAAACAGGTTCATTGATATTGAATATCATCTCTCCTCATATGATGATTTAAAGGTTGTTTAAGGTTGTTGATAATGATACCCCTCTTGACTAACAACAGATATATCTGATAGTTTATAGTTATAAGTGAATCAGCTCTGATCATTACAGCTGAGTCAGAGCATAGAGATACATCTTGGTAAAGAACTGTCAAATGGATTTCTAAAATTGGCATATGTTTAAAGATCTTTCTTTGTCAGCATTGTATGGAGGTGGGATTGCTCTACATTAATTTAAATATTCTATAGCCAAGGATTATTTTAACCAGTCAATAAGTGTGCAATGGTATATACATAAATGTACTTATGTATGAAAATTAGTATCAGTTCTTTCTTATATGATATTTACATATGATATTGGTGATTTGATTTCTTAATTTATAATGTATCTACTCAAATACTTTTATTTTTTAACTGGGATGTCTTTTTATTATTATACTAGTTCTTTTTAAATATTCTGTATATAAAACGTCTAGTCAGAAATTTGTGTCCCAGATATTTTCTTCTGAAAGCCATATTTTCTTAAATTTAGATATCTTAGATTTGGTAATTAATTTTGATTAAATATACCTTTCCATTTCCCTGCTGCTTTTCTTATTGGATATGATCATTGTTTTCTGTATTTTCTCTACATGTTTCTCTATATCAAAATTACAAAAACATATCCCTACCTTATTCTACTAGTTTTGCAGCACTGATTTATATTTAAGTTTTTAATTCGTGTTATGCTAATAACATGTTTGTCTGTGAGTTAGGAATTAAGAATCACGTGATGAATTTTTGTCAACATTAGTTTATGTGCTATTATTTCATGAAAATCATATTAGTTTAGATATATTAGCTTACAGTTTTATTAATTACACTGATCATTACTATGAACAGTAATCTAAATTTTATTATTTTAAAATATTATAAAATTTCAGGGCTGTAACATTTCCTACTTATATGTGTATAATCCTCACCACGTCTGCCAGAAAAGTTCCAGAAAGACCCACCACCTAAAATCCCATCATTCTCCCCACCCCAGACTTCCCCTTTGTTACCCACTATAGTTCCATATAGAAAGAAGTCAGTTTATTCTTCAGCTTATTTATTTTTAGTTATTCTTACTCTTCATATGTGTGAAAAACCTCTGTCATTTGTTTCCTTACTATTTTGCATCACATAATCACCTCAAGATCCATCCACTCAAAAGAAAATTTAATATTACTTTATTAGCAAAGCGGTATCTCTCTGGCTCTGTGTAATACAAGCTTTTATTGAGGATTTATTGGTGGCATTTAGGCGAGCTTCCTGTTTGAAATGCAGTGGAAAGTGCTGCTCTGAACACAAGGGTGCAAATGTCCTTGTGATGGTTTCTGGTCTCCAAACAGTGCCCCTGGGACACTCCTGGGAATTGTCTCCCAAGTGGGCCATTCCTTCCTTTCCTCCCGGGAGTCCCCGCCCAGTCAGGCAGTGGTCTCTGGGCACTCCCGGGCCTCGACTGCCAATTTCTTTGCAGAGCCTGCAGCCTCCTCTGGGGCTGAGGAGGCTCTGTGTGAGGCCAGGGGTGCTTCAGTGACCCCTTGAGGCAAGGCCTGGGCCTTAATCCTTTATCATCTCCCCAGCCCTGATCCTGTTGAACTGATTAGGTTTCCACATGTCTAGGAGTAGTACTATATCTTGTGGAATTTTCACTTTTCTTTCCTAAGAAATAGCCTCCCTATATTCCAGAAAGGTAGTAAAACTTACTTTCCACTGAAAGAAAGTGGTTTCTGGGTTTGTTTCTTGTTTTTCCCAATACTCTAGCTAATAGTTGTTCCCCGACATTTTGATATAAGCCAATTCCCTATAAGTCATTCCCCTAACAGTAATTAATATTGACAAGAAGAAACAAGCCCATAGATCAATGGACTAGAAAAGACAACTTAGAAATAACCCCACAAATATAGGAGCATCTAATCTATGACATAGCCAAGACCACATCAGAGAGAAATATAACCTCTTCAACAAATGCTTTTGGAAAAAAAATATACAACGCGAAAAATAATAAACATAGAATTTATTTAATACCATATACCAAAATTAACTCAAACATATATTTAACATTTCGACACTAGACTTCACACAGTATAATGCATGGAAGAAAACATAGATGACGTGATTGAATATCAACAACAGATACATATTTGGAGACTAAACTCCAATGAAATATTGTGCCAGAGCAATAGTACAGAACTAGGCCACTTGTCTTGAACATGGTCTATCAGAGTTCAAGCCCTGGCACCCCATAGGGTTCCCTGAGCACTACCAGGAGTGACCCCTGAGTTCGGAGCCAGGAGTAAGCCCTGAGCGTCACTTGGAGTGGCCCAAGAACAGCAACAAAACAAACAAAACTCCAGTGAAATGTGAGACAAAAGAAAGAATATATTAATGATATTGTTCATATTAAAATAATCTTACGCAACTGAAGCAATAGCTCTAATTAGAGACCACATTATATAGCAATCAAGGGTCAATACAAAGATGCATTTAGTACTCATTAGCGTTCATTCCCAGGCCTAGGGATGCAAAAATAAAGCAACTTCTAACAGACCTGAGGAAAGACACCAAAAGAACTCAATAATAGTTGGAGTCGTCAATGAACGCACTTCTCTAGCCACTGGGCAGATTGACCAGAAAGAGCAGCAAGAAGGAGAGAGTGGTCTTGAAGGCATGTTTGAAACTGGTTTAGGAGAGTTCTACAGGGCTTTTTATCCTCAAAGAAACAGAATATGGGGCTGGAATGATCGTACAGCTGGTAGGGTGCCTGCCTGACACGAGGCCAGCCTGGACTCAATCCCCAGCATCCTAGATGGTCCCAGGCCCACCAGGAGTATTTCCTGAGTGCAAAGCCAGGAGTCACCCCTCAGTAGGCTGGGTGTGCCCACCCCCCGCCAAAATATAAAAAAAAAAACTGAATATACAGATTTCCCTATACACATGGAATTAAGAAAAATATATCACATGGTTGAACACAAAGCACGTACGATAAAATAGTAAGAAGTTTGAAATCTTATCAGGTATACATTTAGAACATAGATTATGTATGTAGAAATATTAGTCATAAAATAAAACCTGGACAACCTCAAATATATGGAACCCAAACAACTACTCTAAAATATCGGGTCCGATAGGAAAGCGAAGGAGAGGTAAAAGAATTTCTGGGGAAAGAATGAAAGTGAAGACACAGCTTTTCAGAACATATAGATATAGCATTAACAGTACAAAGGAAGAACTTCTTAGCAATGTAGGGGTACATCAGAGAATGAAAAAAATCTCAAAAAAAAATCTAACCTCGTATCTTCAGGAACTGGAAGAAACATAAAACAAATAAAAACCCAAAGTTACCAGAACAAAGGAGCTAATAAAAATGAGTGTAGGTATAAATGAAAAAGATTAAAATAGACAATGAAGGCCCAGATACAGTTTCCTTAAAGAATACAGAAAATTAATTAATGTTGGCTATACTAGAAGGAGAAAGAGAAACCTTAATACATTGTACATTCTTTACATTTTTATGTATGGAAAATTGAATAATCATTGTATAAAAACTTTTATTGTTTATTTTTCCCCATCTTCATTGCTTTATTTCCTATTTTAGCCTATTGCGAGAGTATTCGATATGCCAGACACAGTAACAACAAAGTCTCCAATGGAGACGTTACTGGGCCCGCTCGAGCAAATCAACGATCAACGGGAGGGCCTTTGCCTTTACCTTTTTACCTTTGCAATTACTGAAGTCACCAATAAAATACCAACCAAAGCGCTAAAATTAGACATTGCTCTAAAGAACTTCTCTGTTATTCAGATTATTCAAAGTTTAAGGTGGTAAGGCTGCAGAGTTTGCTCTCTGGTCTGAACATGTTCTGAATGTGGAAAGACCAAA